CTGCAGCCCTGTTTATGCTCTGTTCTTCTCAGGAGGGGCTGGCCTGACACCTAACAGTCTCCAGGCCAAAAAGGAGAAAAAAAACAGGTGTAAAAGTAGAACACTCTGGGGTTTGTTTTTAACAGAAATTGACATGGTGATCTAAAATTCATAGAATTCAAGAGACAAAAAATATATATACATAGAGAAAGAACAAAGTTGGAAGACTCATACTTCCTGATTTCAAAACTTACCAAGTTACAATAATTAGGACAGTGTGGTCCTGGCATAAGGATAGACAGATGGCTCAACGAACCAGAATAGGAAGTTCAGAAATAAACACACACATTTATGGTCAGCTGATTTTTGACGAAAATGTCAGGGCCATTCAAAAGGGAGAAAGAGTCTTTTCATCAGGTGGTGCTGGGACAACTGAAAAGCTACATGCAATAAAATGAAGCTGGACCCCTATACCTCATACCATACACAGAAATTAACTTCAAATGGAGCAAAGACCTAAATGTAAGAGCGAAACTATAACACTGAAGTCTTTGTCACCTTGGATTGGGCAATGATTTCTTAGTAAGATACCTAAAGCACAAGTAACTTCATCAAATAAATGGACTTCATCAAAATTAAAAACTTTGCTGCTTCAAAGGTCACCTGAAGAAAGTGAAAAAAAACCCTACAGAGAGGAAATATTTGCAAATCATGTATCTAGTAAATATCTAGTACCAGAATAAGGAACTGTAACAACTCAGCAATAAAAAGGCAAATAACCCAATTTACAAATGGACAAAGGATGTGGAAACAACTCTTCAAAGAAGTTACACAAATGGCCAGTATGCACATGAAAAGACACCCAGCATTGTAAGCCATCAGGGAAATGCAAATCAAAACCACTATGAGATACCATGTTATACCCACTAAGATAGCATGACCCCAACCAAAGATGAACAATACCAAGTATCGGTGAGGATGCAGAGAAATGGGGACCCTTATCCATGACTGATGGGAATGTAAATAGCAAAACCACTTTGGAATACAATTTGGCAGTGACCAGATGACCCAGCAATCCTATTCCTAAGAATATACCAATGAAAAATGAAAACATATGCATGACTGTTCCACAGTAGCATTATTCATAATAGTCATAAAGTAGAAGCAACCCAGATGTCCCCCACCTGATGAATGGACAATCATAATGCGAACTAGCCACACAGCACATTATCAGTCAGCCATAAGCAGCAAGGGAGCACTGATACGTGCTGCATTGTGGATGAGCCCTCAACACGTGCTCGTGAAAGAACATAGAAACAGAAGGTCACCTGCTGTATGACTGCACTTCTATGAAATGCCCAGAATAGGCTGATGCATAGAGACTGAAAGTAGATGAGTGGGTGCCAGGGACTAAGGGAGGAGAAGGATGGGGAGTGATTGCTTAACACATACAGGTTTTTTTGAGGTAGAGGAGGTGGGTAGGAAAAACTGTTCCAGAATTAGATAGTGGTGATGATTGTACATCCTTATGAATAAGCTAAAAACCACTGAATTGTACACTTCAGAAGAGTGACTTTTATGGTATGTGAATTTTATCTCAAAAATGTTTTTAAATAAAGCACAGGTGTTGAAATCTGAATTACCATAAATGTTTCAATGTCTGGTTGACTTTCAACATCTCTGCCAAGCTCTCAGCCACTTCATCATCAAGTTCATTTTTGGTGAGCCTAGAAAAGAAAGGAAGTACTGACTCAGGACAGCCCTGCCTGGTACACACTCTTTAATGAGTTCACAGAAGTGGGATCCTGGCCCAGGAGTCTCCAGCCTGTGCTGCTAAGCACTCGCTGAGAACCCAGCAGACAGCCAGGCTCCAAGCCCAGCCTCTGAGCCCGACAGACAATCAGTGATGGTTCATTTCTTGTGCAAATCCTTCACTCAAGCTTCTACTTAGTCCTGCTGCTGTGGGGAAGCCTATACTCCCTCCCCATCCTTGCTGAGCCCTCAGATCTCACAGAAGCGGGGGCCCACGGAAAACAAGGGGCCAATGCCTGCTTCTCCAGTCTTCTCTCCAGTCCCAAGATCACTTGAACACCATGGGCAGCGTATTACCAAAGCCAGTCAGATGAAGACCTAGAAAAGCCTGCTGAATGCGTGTTAAAATGTGTTCATCACTTTGCTCTGAGGCCAGTTATGAAGGACTCAAGTTCTGTGACTGAAAGTTCAGGAAGTCTCTCAATTGTTCTTAAAAACCAGAAGTGGTCTGGATAAAGCACAGAGGGCTAGAAGCTCCTGGTTGTAAGTAGGATTGGACCCTGTTGTACCCGTGGATAAAAAATAGGGAAGAAAAATGGAATAAAAAGAACATTTTAAAAAATCATTCCTTGAAGGGCAATTTGGTAGTGTCTATCCAAATTTTCAACGTGTTACACTTTGGGCCAACAATTGGACTTCTAGAAATTGACCCCATGGCGTGCAAAGACATTACACACAGGACTGTACATGCAGTATTGATTGCAGTATGTTCAGTCATAATGTACGACATGAACAACCCTAAGTATCAACAGAGGCACCTGGCAAAATAGATTGTGCGTGTACATTCAGAGGGATGCTGTGCAGCCCTTAGAATGAGGTAGGATGAAGAACGGGGCACAGAGCACAGTGCTTAAGATGCTGAAGCCAGACATGCCAGCTGGAATCGCTTAACTAGCAGGGCGACCACAGCAGGTGGTTTCATTTCCCTGGGCCTGAGTTTTCTCACCACTAAATGTAAACAGTAATGGTACAGACCTTACAGGGTGGTGGTGAGAATGAGTTAATACATGGAAAAGGCTGAGAACAATGCGTGGTGTACAGTCAGTACTCAACATACGCGGGGGACTGACATCATTCTTATCTCTGTAGAGCTGTGGTTCTTCGTGATTTCCCCTCCAGAGGACACTTGCCAGCATCTGGAGACAATTTGGATTGTCACAATTGGAGGTCACTGCTGGTATCAAACGGGTAGAGGCCACGGACTCTGCTAAACATCTTACAATGCACAGGACAGCCTCTCAACCAAAAAGAATTATTTGGACCAAAATGTTGACAGTGTTGAGATTGAGAAGCCCGGACATAAAGGGACATGTAAAATATGTACAATATATGGTTGAGATATTTTTTAAAGCCACTTGCTAAATGTTATTCTATTTTGTGAGAAAGGGTTATTTATTTGAATATACATTCAAATGCTAGAAGAAAAAGATATTTAGAGAAAAAGAGGGTGGAGGTACTTTCACTTCCTACTTTCCAGACTTCAGTGTCTTACACTTTTTTCAAAAAAGCTTCTATTACTTTTCAAAATCTTTTAAAATGAAAATGCAACTACTGGCCAGCAGATCTAGTATCAGAATTCTCATAATGAGGACATTTTCATTAACTCATTTAACCAGTATCTCATGAGGAGGATACAGAGATATGCAATATAAAACTCCCTGACCCCTGGAAGCAATTTATGATATGGTCAAGTAAATGAAATACAATAAAAATAGGGTAAATGATCGAAAAAAGGAATAACTAAAAAAAAAATAAAAGCGCTAGTAGAAGGCAACATACTTAATTAGTGGCCCTGGAGTGCAGAGAGGAAGTAAGGACAGGTGACAGGTGAGTTACAGCATGAAGGCCAAATCCTGATGGGACGGCCTGTGAGGAGGAAGTTTAAGAGGAAATGCTGAGCCACGTACATGAAAGTTGGACCTCACGAGACCTACCTGAGGGTGTTCAAGGATGTCCTGACAGTTAGAATGGCTAGTCTTCTGGTTTTCCCAAGGCCCAGAGTGGCAAAGAAGGCTAAGGTCTCAGACTCAAGCTCCTAGGACCCACCCCCCCCAACTCCTTCTGTACCTGTTTGTCCTCCTGGGAATGGCTGTTTTCTTCTCTAGAAGGAAATTAAATTACAAACCTACCATCGGGGAAAGTCCTAGAGCCTTTTCAATGGGGAGGCAGCCTTTCAGTTAAGATTCCAGGTGATGGGCGGCCTTTGGAAAAATCCCTGAGACCCAACCTTTCAAAATGACTCTGGTCATTACCAGAATATTCTCAGAGATGCATTCCGCTGCAGGGCCCATGCGAGACTCTTTCCTCCTTCTGTAGAGATGCCATTGAATGCGAGACTAGGGAGAAAAAACATTTGGAGTAAATTATTAGAAACACATCCATATTTGGCTTTGGTTTCAGCAACTCAAACAGCCACAAAGACTCCACCCGGAGGTGGCCCCTGCCCCGGCTGATTTGAGGCAGGAAGCAGAAGTGTCGGCCTCGTCAGCATCTGCTCAGGCTCGAGCAGGACAGGCAGCAGACTGCTCGAGGAGAGGCCAGACAGGACACGGAACATCAGCAACACTTGGGACACAGCCGACTGCAGGCTGAGGCGGCCAGGCTGACATCTCACAGGTACCCATCAGCGAGGCCTGGAGAAGCTTCCTCTGCTCTCATAAGAAAGGAACTCTGCTATTGCCCCTACCATATTAGACTCTCTGCCAGTGACAGGAAGGACGCGGGTAACTGGGAGACATCCAAGCCTCAGAGATTCGGCCAGAAAAGGAGGGCCGGGGAGGAGCAGGTCTATTTCCAGAGATAACAGGTTCCTGCTTGTCCCAGCACCATCCTGAGGGTGACGGAGGGACAGGAATCTGTTGCCCAGTGTCCCTTTCAGTTTTATTTGGACTGAATAATTCCTTCCCCACCTCCAGGGGGCCTGGGGAGGTGGCGGGGGCTGGCAGCACCCTATGTCTTAATCTGACTGGCGTGTGCATGTGTCACACCATGGAGCTGAAAACTCAAGCTTTCTGTATGCCTTTATTGTATGTCTCTTATAGTCAATAAAAACGTTTTTAAAAAGAAAAAGGAAAACTGCACACACAAATACCTCCCCTGTTAGGAGTGCCAGCCACCCTCTTCTTCTAGGCTCCTCCCCTGGTAAAACAGGAGCCCCACGGAGTGACCAGGTGGCCCCGGAGACAGTGCTCACCTCAGGTTGGTCAAGCTGGGGTGGTTCCTCAGAGCCTCTGCGAAGGCCTTGGCTCCCTCATCACCGATCTGATTGCCCCACATCCTGCGGGCAGAGGCAAGACAGTGAAGGTTATTTCACTCTCATCCCTTATTTTCTGCTCGTGGCCAAGACTTGACTGTATGTATTCTCAACAGGCAGATGTTTTTGCTCCGTCCCAGAAGCTGGGGCCTGAGACGAATCCCTGCACCAGCCCTCAGTGCGCTGCTGTAGAGGACAAAGAGCAGTAAAGCCTTGTAAACAAGGGTCAGATTGGTGGCTGCACAATTAGAGACCAAGCCTCACCCCTGAGCTTTCGGAGAGCTGTCAGTCACCCTCAGCTCATGACTCCCGGAAGTGTCACCCACAGGGTATAAGGGCTCGCAGCAGCCCCAAAGGAGGGTGGAGGTGCTGACTCACTAACCAGCTGACCCTGCACAGCAGTGAGAGACATTCTGGAAGACACTGACATTCCTGCATGAAGCAAAGATTAGGAAGCATTTTCAGAAAACTAATCAGCAATGTTTCCTGCATGTAAAGAGGATGTCACCAAACTGTTCTACCCCGATTGCTGCAGTTTGGGTGGGGAGCTGCAACGACAAAGCCCTGTTCTGTCCACCAGAGTAGATAACCTGAGCGGTTCTGGCTAAATGGAGGGTCTGGGTAAGACAGTGGGCTCCATCCTGGCCCTGCCACCCGCTACTTCTGCCTGCTTGGGCAAAATACAGTGTCTCCTAGGTCCTAGTCTCCTTGTCTGTAAAGCAGGGAAAGGAGGAGCATGTCCTCCTAGAGGTGTTGTGAGGATTAAGTCAGTCAGTACAAGCAAAGCCCTCAGAACAGCGCCGGAGCTCTAAGAAGCGTCAGCTATTCCTAAGAGGCTGAGGGGCACTGTCTACAGAAAGCAAGGCTGCCAGGCCCCCCACAACAGCACCAGGGCTGCCCCAGCCACACGTTCTTGCCAAGCAGGCAACCTGCCGACATCCCCCCCTCCAAGTATGCCTTGCAAAAGCCCCAGAATGAGAGTTTTCAGTGTTTTGCATGAAAAGTGTGTGTACTAGGTACAACTGAATAGCATCGAAGTTTTAGTAAAGTTGAAAACTACTCATGACATGAGATTAAGTAGAAAAAGTAGAATAAAATATGACCACTATCATATTAAAAAAAATAGTGTAGAGGGAACACGCATTGCATTAGAGAGAGCAGGAAAGCTTAACTGACCTCAGA